TACATGCAACTAAAGGCTGCACAAATATTATATATTAGAATAATTGTTAAAAAACAAATATACGCTCTTTGTTAGCAATATCAAAATTTCCAGTAGCTAATAAGCATTCTCATTAGCAAAACACAGAACTCTAGATTCTCAATTTGAAGAAATATATACAGTATAGCTCATTTATTCTAATTTTACATAGCATATGATGGTGGATGACTTTGAAATAATGCCCTGGGCTAAGTCAAGGAATCAAAAAGAATATAGAAAGAACAAATCCATACATTTCTGTACAATTTTATTACCTCCATTAATCCAAAACTGTAGGACTGTAAGGGGGAAAAAGCTAACATCTAATTTAAAGAGATGACCTAGGATCAATATTTTTGCATACATCTGTAAAGTCACAATGTGAATCACTGTTTTATTGGTCATCTGTAACATCCAATATTCACAAGTATTCTGCTTTTGATAAGGGAGGTTTCATTTATCTAACTTGGATAATAAATGTTGAATTGACTTCTGTGCCCTGAATTTAAGTAATCTTTTTAAAAAGTTGTGTGAAATAGTAGCCATTGTATATTTGGACAACAAATTCTTTAAATTATATATTTTAGAAAGTAGTCTAAATACTGATTCAGCTGACTACTAAATTTGCTGGGGGAAGTTGATAGGCAAAATTATTTTGGAGTGTGATAAACTAGATGAAGTTCCACACTTTTAATCTTTGTGATCTTAAGTAAGATACATGTGTATTTAATGTAGTATTCTGTAGAGAGCAAGACTTTGGCAGTCAAAAGTGCTCAGGGATCAAGTGCTCAGGGATGCAGACTTTGGGTAATTTCCTGACAAGGAAGTACGGCCTTATTTCCTATTGCACAGCCATATACATTCAATTTTTTTTAAAGATATGTGCTGATACTGTATGTTTGTGTAGGATAACTGTGCAATAGGAAACACATATCCAAATAAAACAACAACATAATGTGATACTATCAAATTATACCTGTAAAAAATCTTAAATATATAAACTGTATATTATGTCCTGCTAAAAAAGATGAGTGGATCTGCTAAAAGAAGAGGTGACTTTAATATTGGCATGACAATGAAAAACTTAAGTTAATGGTTAATGTCTCAATTCAACATATCGTTAATTTAAGGTACTGCATAAAACTGTTTTACCAAAAAAAAAAACCAAAAAAACAAGCAAGCTTAGTTAAATGATGGTAGCATAAATAACAGTAACCAGAAAAACAGTTGTCAGAAGCATATTGAAATTAAAACTAAAATAGAAACTGTTACATTATTGCTGTTAATATCACAATCGTTGTTAACAGAACAATGTTGAAATCAAAACAAAATTTTCAAAGCTTGCTTTTTACAAAGAACACAGTCAAGAGTCTTTTGTTTATGGTGAATCAGAGATGCTTTTTATATGCTTATGGAAATCATTTTAAATAGCTTTCTACGTTTCCCAACCCAGAAAATCAGTGGTTGCCATACTGCTCCTTCTATATGCATGGTTGCCTTAATCAGATAATAGTTTCCTGTTACCAACTCAAGAGCATTTATATTTTTAAGAAAAAGGGGGAAAAAGAAGAGTCAGTTAAAAGAGGAAAAAGATCCACAGCATATTTTAGTGCTGTAGTAGTAACAAGAAAGTGAAGGTCTCCAGGAGAGGAAATTTTCAGTTCATCTTTCTTTCAACAGAGTTGTAGAGCATGTAGGAGAACTGCCTTCCTTTTATTTAGACAGCCAAAACAGTAATTCATATTAGTATTCCTTCTCTACTTGTCTTCTGTAAACAATACTCATTTTCAGAAAAGGAAGTTGGAAGAGAATAAAATTTCCAATGTGACTCAAATAACTAACATACATACATACATGTGGACAAACAGCCCACTACAAATTTACAACATTGCTACTTTTATTAACTTCTATATCAGGCTATACTTCCAGTTGTGTGCATATCATTTATATCTTCTCTTCAAAATTATGCAAGTATTGGGTTTATAACTCAGTGTCATGACATTTTCATGAAAAGAAATACTGGTTATTACATAGATTTCAATATTTTTGTGATGTCATGGTTCACCAATTGAGGTAACAATGTGACTAAGCCACAGTTGCTTAGATTTGCCAAGATACTTTACAACAGCTAGGTGCAATGTGTGAACCTGGCTTGTTTTATTTGTAAATCTAAGCTAGATTAATTAACAATAGAAACCTGCAGAGTTTATTTGTGTGCTACTTTTACAATTCCCCAAATGATTAATAAGTATAGGCAGAGGGGAGCAGAATATGTCAACTGTTCTACATTCACTACTGGATCCATTATCTTCAACCAACTCCTATCAGAATATGTTCTTACTGAATAAGTACTGCCATTGGAATACTGGCCTGGAATCCTGATGGCACAGATCTCAAGAAGGCGTTCCCATGCAGAATCCCTCCTACCTCCATAAATTTGGGGGCAAAGCCAGCAGGCATGATCCTATTTCCCATATTATGCCGTTCTTAATTATATGACAGAGTATGTATGGTTTAAACCTGAGATTGTTTAAATCATAATACCTTCCTAAAGTTTTTGAGTGGAATAGGAAGTTCAAAATTTCCACACATATTGATTCTGAATGACTTGACGGTGTCCCTTCTGCCGTTAGTAACACAAACCAAGCATATAACACCACAGAGAATGTTTTTCATACCTTTTTTGCCTTTACCTGATTTTAATAAGACACAAAAAGTTAAAAGGAAAAAAAATCACAATAATTTTAAAAATATTAAATAATTATTTAAAACCAAATATTCTAACACGCACAAATTACACACATATAGAGAAGTGCAACCCCAGAAATTGCAGCTGGGAAAAAAAGCTGATTTCTGATCGGGGTGATTTCTCTTACCACAGATTTTTTTTTTTCTTCAACATATTTTGGATTGCAGCCCTTGTCAAAACAAGTCATTTCATTAAAGGTATTTTAGATAGTGAATGTAGGTTTCCTAAGAATTAAAGAATCCACATCTCTTGGGGGGGTCACAGTTTAAAAAAGAAAAAAATCAACAATTCTAAATAGGTATCTGATTTGCACAAGGCAAGTACAGTACACAAATCCTATTAAACTTAGTGGACCTTACTTCTAATTTAGTAAGTCTAATTTTAAAATCAGAGAAGGCAGCTGAGACTAGGGTTTTGTTTGCCTTTATGTTTTCTGTGACAGCCAGTTTGATGTAGTAGTTAAGGCATCAGGCTAGAAACCGGGAGACTGTGAGTTCTAGTTCCACCTTAGGCACAAAGCCATCTTGGTGATTTTGGGCCAGTCTCTCTCTCTCAGCCCTAGGAAGGAGGCAATGGCAAACCACTTCTGAAAAACCTTGCCAAGAAAACTGCCGGGGGGTGTCTCCCCCCCCTCGCTTCCCCAAATCCCAACTCATATGAAGGGATAGAAAAAAAAAAAAAAAAAA